AGAACATTGGAGTATATTCTTCACAGTTCTGGTAAAATTCAGCAGCGAATCTGTCTAGTTCTGATTTTTTTTCTTTGTGTGGAGATTTTTAAAAAAATTATTGCTTGTTACTAATCTGTTTTTAAATATCTCCTTGGATCAATTTTGGTATATCATATGTGTCTAGAAATTTATCCATTTCTTTAAGAGTCTCCAATTTATTAGAATATAGGTTTTCAAAAAGTCTCTGATGATCCTCTGGATTTCAGTGGGATTTGTTCTAATATCCCTCTTTTTGTCTCTATATTAATTTGGGTCTTTTTTATCTGTCTCGTTTGGCTAAGGTTTATCAATCTTGTTTATCTTCTTAAGGAAACAACTTTGATCCTTTGCATTGATTCTGCATATTGTTCCCCCCACCCTTAGTACCAGGGATCAAACTCAGGACCTTGGGCTTGTGAGGCCACTGAGTTTAAATCCCTGGCTCTCTTTGTATTATTTTATTTTGCCATTTATATTGTTCTTTTGGTTTCTTTCATTGGTCCTAGTTCTGACCTTTGTTACTTCTTTCCTTCTAGTGTTTGTGTTTGGTTTTGATTCTTGTTTTCCTAAGAGTTTGAGATGCATCTTTAGGTTATTTATTTTACATTTCTTTGGTTTTTTTTATGTAGGCACTTAAAGCTATAAACTTTTCTCCTAGAACTACCTTTTCTGTATCCAAGAGATTATAGTATGTTATGTTTCCATTTCATTTGATTTTAGAAATCTTTAAATTTCTGTCTTCCTTCAATAACCCACTGATAGTTCCAAAGTGAATTGTTCAATTTTTGTGTATTATTTCTTCAGGGTTTCTTGCTATTGATTTCTAGTTTCACTTTATTGTGATCTGATAAGACCCAAGCAATTATTTCAGCTTTTTTTGTATATAAGACTCCTATGGACTAAAATATGATCTGTTTTGGAGAAAATCCCATAAGCTGCTGAAAAGAATGTGTATTGTGCAATTATTGGATGACACGTTCTGTAGGTGTATGTTAAGCCCACTATATCTGTAGTGTGCTTCAACTGTTTTATTCATTCATTCATTCTGGATGACCTATTACTGGTGTGAGTGAAGTATTAAAGTAACTCACTCTTATGACATTGGGGCCTATATGTCCCTTTATGTTGAGTAGTATTTGTTTTGTGCAATTTGGCACACTGATATACATATGTGTGTGTGTGTGTGTGTGTGTGTGTGTGTGTATATGTATATATATGTATATATATTT